TCATTAGCAGGGTCAACAGTAGATTTTTCCCCATCAGTAATGCTAAAAGTTGCTATTCTAAGTCTTCTACCCACCACTAATTTAAGACAACACTGCTGGGTTGCCTTAAATCCTACTGGTTTATTTAGCGGTTCCATTTTCACTCCTCAATAGATTTTATGTATTTCTCATACGATTCTTCACTCATAAGTTCATCTAGTTCTGAAGGGTTACTCAGTGTCGTCTTGATCAGCCAACCATCTTCATAATAAGATTTGTTTACAAGTCCTGGATTTTCTGCAAGAGCTTCATTAATTTCGGTGACTGGTGACTTCTGATAAAGGAGAATAAAGTTCACTAGCAGCTTTAACATTTTCCAAAGCACCAAATTCATCTTGTTTATTCAATTTTGTCCCAACTTCAGGCAGACTACAGTAAACAACATCTCCCAAGGCTTCCTGTGCAAAATTGCTGATTCCCACTGTTCTAATACCATTTTCTGCTTTTATCTATTCATGTTTCTCTGTGAATTTATGCACCGAAAGCAGAGCGGGTCCCGCGCGCAGCTTCCGGACGGCGCCCGCCCCCAGCTGCCAGGACCTCGGCGGGCAGGACGCGGCGGGTGACCGGACCGCGCGCAGGGTGCAGAGCACAGCCCGCAGGCTCCGCCGCTCGCAGGCCATGTTCGCAGGGTTACCCGGGTCGCGGCGCTACGCCTCGGCCACCCGCACGAGGAGGTGGAGTGCGGCCCAGAGTGTTTTCTTTAAAACATCTATTTCTTAGATGAGTTTTTCTACTTATTTTCATTTGTTTCATGCATGTTCCAATAGTTTGTTAAAATATTGGCCAGGCGCGGTGGCTCACGGCTGTAATGCCAACACTTTGGGAGGCAGGTGGATTGCTTGAGGCCAGAAGTTTGAGACCAGTCTGGCCAACATGGAGAAACCCTGTCTCTACCAAAAAAAAAAAAACCAAAAAATTAGCCGCGCGTGGTGGTATGTGCCTGTAATCACAGCTATTCAGGAGGCTGAGGCACGAAAATTGCTTGAACCTGGGAGGTGGAGGCTGCAGTGAGCCAAGACCAGGCCTCGACAGGAGATCAAGAGTCTGTCTCAAAACACACACACACACACACACACACACACACACACACACACACACACAATTAATTAATTAATTTATTTATCATGGCTGCTTTAAAGTCTTTGTCAGATAATCCTAACCTCTTTCTTATCTTAGTGTTGGCCTCTATAATTGTCTTTTTATTTTTCATCTAGTTTGAGATCTTCCGGGTTCTTTGTGTGATCAGTAATTTTTACTTGAAATCTGGATATTTTCCTGTAATATGAACCTGTGGGTCTTACTTAAACTTTCTGTTTTAGCTGGCATGCCCTGGCACTTCTCTGGCAAAGGAAGGAGGGGTCACCGCCTTGTTACTTCCAGGTGGAAGTAGAAGCCTCTGTTCTCCACCTCGCCTCTGTCGACATCTGAGGTCAGGTGAGGCCCCTCCTTACTGCCGGGTAGATGTGGAAGTCCAGGCTGCCCACGTGGTCCTCATTGACAATCGGGAGTGGCCTCATTACCGGTTGTTGAGAATAAAATTCTCAGTTCCCTACTTGGACTTACCTGACTCAAAAGGGGTCTTTGGTGCCTTTTTACAGTCCTGCCAGAGTGTAAGTCTAGGCTCCACATTCAACCTCACCTGGGCTGGTGGTGATAGGGGCCATGGTCTTTTTCATGGTGTTTTGCTGGAGTGGGACAGTTATTGTCTAAAAGTTTTCTGCCTTGCTAGGCTGCCCCTTTCCAGATTATTTGGTTAAATGCATCAGGCCTTTACTGGGGCTGTTTTTTTTTTTTTTTTTTTTTTTGGTCTGCATGAATTATCTTGACTGAGCCACTGGTTTCTTTAGTTTCAAAACTGTGATAAATGAGGCAAAAAGAAAACCCAGAGAACTCACCACTGTGTCATTCTTCCATCTGGAGAGCTCTCAGCAATTTTTCCTTTTCTGCATCTTTCAGTTTCCTGTGTTTGGTGAATGGATTATCCCCATTCACCATCTTAAACATTTGATAGGCGTAGTTATGCTAGGATTTATTTATGTTTCCTGGTGTTTGTGTTCTTTTTTTCAAGAAAATGTTTTTTTTTTTTTTTTTTTTTTTTGTGGAGGGGGATGAAGTCTTACTTTGTTGCCCAGACTGGAATGCAGTGGCACGATCTTGGCTCACTGCAAAGAAATTTTAAGAATCAAAACAAACTTTTAATTTTTCTTCTTGTCTCTTGTCATATCTAAGTGATTTTTAAACGATAAAGCATAAAAGTAATGCTGAATATTTGCTTTCATATTTGATGTTTCATTTTTGCTATAGTTTTTATACCTTTAGATGATTATGCGGTGTTACAGTGACTTGTTTCTTAATAATTGCACATCTAGATTGCTTACTATTTTGCAGGTAATGCAGTTAGTGTATAGTTCATGATTTTGCTTCTTTCCTTTAAGCTAAAGGCCTAGGAGCAGGATGACAAAGTCAGAGGGTATGAAGGTTTTGTTAATTTTGAAAAATATGATCAGATTTACTTCTAAAAGATACTGATTTACACTGACTCCAGTACAGTTTGGTTGACTAGCTCTATCATACATTATAGGTTTTTGCTTTTAAAAGTTTATTTTTTAAAAACAAGGTTACTTGCAGTCTAACATCACAGTCCATAGTAGAAAAACAAAAGCAGTATTCTTCTAGTTTTATTTTCTCCTTTATTTGTCCATCATCCATAAATTTACTGGAGTCTTCTCACCAATTTTCATTAGCACTAGTATCATAAATATATTAATCTCTTGAAAATTATTTCTGATCTGTTTTTCCTCATTATAGGCTTTGTAGGTTTTATATTATTAAATTTATATTATTATATGTCTATTTTAAAGTCAGTGTGGCTGGGTGCAGTGACTCATGCCTGTAATCCCACCACTTTGGGAGGCTGAGGTGGGAGAATCGCTTGAGCCTAGGAGTTTGAGACCAGCCTGGGCAACACAGTGAGACCCCATCTCTACTTAAAAAGAGAAAAAGAGAAAAGAAAAAAGTCAGTGATTTTTGTCTTTTATTGTATCTGAGAATGAATGTCATGCTCCTGTCTGATGCATACTTTTATTTCCTTAAGTTTCTAGAGTTCATTTGGTTATGTATATATATTTAGAAAGTTAATATGCAATTGAGATGAAATTTTATTTATGTGTATTTTATGTTATAGAAAACTACATTATTATATTTTCATTTTTTTCTGAACTTAAATAGGAAAACAAACAAAATAACCCAACTTTTTAAAAAAAATGGGTACTTATTTTTAAATAATTGATGGTGAACTTTTGATAAACTAAAATTTTATGATGGCAAGGTATTGGTTAATTGAACTTTTTGTCTGTTCAAGATTAACCAGAGGATTGTCTTTAACTCTTGTTGTTAATCATTCTAAAATATATGAAAGAAAAGCTTAGTTATCTGCTCCTATTGGAGAGTAGGCCATTCTAGGTAGATGAGACAGCACAGGATAATAGTTTACCTTGAGTGCTGGGTTTTGTCCTGGTTCCTGGCATTGAGTTTCTTACGTAGTCCTCAGCAATCCTAGAAGATAGGTTCTTTTAGTATGCTCATTTTGTGGATATGAAAATTTAGAGACCATAACCTGCCAAAGATAACGTAGGTAGTGAGCACTGAAAGTGGAACTCAGCCTGCTTTTAAAAGATGCTATTTGATGCCAAGGAATTGGACTTCATTTCTTACACGTTGGAAAGATTAGGTGTTGCAAAGCAAGGGGATGGTATGGTATGTTATCTCTTTTGGGGAGATTGCTCATGTGACAAAGTGGCCATATAGTGAATTATGTTTATAATAGGAAGTGGTAGAAATAGTCATGCGAGAAATGAAGCCTAAACTTTGAGGTGGAAGTGGAGATCAGGGGATATTTTGGAAAGATACAGGATTTAGTAACTGATTTATAAGAGAATGGGAAGGCAGAGTATTGATTTGGAAGACATAGAGTGGGGTAATGACAGATGAATATGTGCTCACAGCCCTTTGTTATATTTCTTTCACAGCATTGACTGTGATGTATTGTACCTATTCTGGTGACACATCTGTCTCCCCCACTGGATTGTGTGCTTATCAAGGATAGGGACTGGGTAGAGGAATGAGTGAATGTAGGATGAGATAATACAGAAAGACATCAAGAGACTGAACTGGGAAACACCAGATCACCAAAACGAAAGAGTAGGTGGAGGAAGAGGAGCTCTAGAATGTGACAGCTGTCAGGGAGGATGGGGAAAGAGCCATCAGGGAGGGAGCAGAGGGGAGGAAAGTATTAGCACAGATGTGAGCATGTAGAATGCTGCCACCTCAGGCTGCAAACAGTTGTGGTTGATGTGGCCTGCTGTCATAAGCCAATGAGTGGTTGTATGGGGTGACTTTGTCTTTCCTTTGTTACAGACCGCTCCCCCTATGGCCCCCACACCCCTCCCCGCCAAGCTTTTTCTGAGTATCTGCTTTCTGCCTCTCTGGCTTCTGACTTCTGCTTGCTACAGGTGCTGATGCTGGGGTGTGATTCAGCCTATTGAGATTACCCAATGAGAACGGTCCTTTCTTTTTAAGTGACTTGATCAATCACAGTATGTGAGATGTAATCTCTGAGTTTTTAGCTCTTCTTTGCTGAGTTGATTGCTTTGGAATGCCCTAGAGTCCCACAGCCGCCCTGGCCTTCGGGGAAGACTCCGGCAAGTGTGGCGCTCGCTCCTGGGGAGTCCCACCGCGGGAGCTGAGGCCTCGGATTCCAAGGGCGGGCTGGGGAGGAACTGGCAGAGATGTGGACCTGTGGAACGCACTTCGAGGACGGCGCCTGCGCCCACACTCAGCTGTTCGCGAGCCTTTCTCGCCTTTCTCCTGACAGCCGTCCCCCGGCCTTCTCTTGCTTTCCTCTTCTTGTTTCCCTCCGGGATGTCTGCGCAACAGCGAATTTCCGTTTCCGGTGGTTTCCGTTCCGGCCTGAGCAGTTCAAACGGAGGTGGGTCAGTGCCGCAGGCTGTGGTAGGGGGCCGGTGGGGACCCTGCGTCTGAGGCACTGGGGGGATCCTGCCTCGTCCGCTGCACGATTTGGGAAGGTCGTCCCCCGGTCATCCCAGTAATCTTTGCTCCCGAGGAACGGCATATTTCGCATGTGCGGAAAGTGTCTTGCGGTCGTTGGGAGAACGACTGGACGCGGAGGGAAGGTGGCGGGGAGACTTCGTTTCCTGTAGACGGGGTCCCAGCAGACGACGTAGACCTGAGTTGGATCTGTTGACCCCAAATTGTGCTTTTCCTACCGAGAAGAAAGACAGGGAGAGAAACATTAGTACAAGTTCGGAACTAAAATATGGTAGGGAAGAGACATAATCTCTGAAATCACACAGCTGTTCGTTTCAAAGTGTTCCTAGTGCCCAGCTCTGCTAACTCCCGGCCGGTGTTCCTTGATATTCTGGTGATAGATGAAGACTTTCTGGGCCAGGCTTGGTGGCTCATGCCTGTAATCCCAGTACTTTGGGAGGCCGAAGGGGGTACGAGATCAACAGGTTGAGACCATCCTGGCCAATTTGGTGAAACCTGTCTCCACTAAAAATACAAAAAATTAGTGGGCATCGTGGCGTACCCTTGTAGTCCCAGCCGCTCAGGAGGCTGAGGCAGGAGAATCGCTTGAACACTGTGGGTGGAGGTTGCTGTGAGCCGAGCTCGCGCCACTGCACTCCAGCCTGGAGACAGAAAGACACTTTGTCTCAAAAAAAAAAAAAAAAAAAAAAAAAAAGAAAAGAAAAAAAAAGAAAAAAAAAAAGGCTTTCTTTTTCCACTGATGTGTGTGCCTGTGAGAAGCACTGACTCACCTCTGTGTTCCAGTGCAGCCTTCCAGTGTAGCCCTTATTGCCTGGCACCGAAGATACTGGTTTGGATTTCCCTCTGCAAGTCCGATAGTGCCTAGCACATCATAGACAGACACAAATATTTATTAAACGGAATTAATGCATTACCTTAATTGAATGAAATGGCACCCTGCCCCGCTTTTTAAAAATCAAGCTGTCAGATTTTATGTACCCCAATTTCCTATAAACCTCACTAATTCAGTGATTACCAATTTATTGGCCACAGATTGCCAAGTAGCTCAAAAATTACTAGAAGGGTCTCTGTCAAGTCCATGGGGTCTCCAGCCATCATCTAGAACCAGTCATTTCTCACACAAAGAGATGCTGCTGTTTTTCAAGTGTACGTAGATGAGTTGTGCTTTAGGAGCTTTTACAGTCAACAGATACTAAAAGTAATACTATGATCATATTGGAAGTTCATAAAAACGTTTTACATTTTTTATTGAAGTTTAAGTTAGGAAATCACTTCATTAGTCCAGTTGATGTCTAGGTATGAGCTGTCCAGTATGGTAGCCACAAGTGACTATTTAGAGTTAGAATGAAATTAATTAAAAATTCATTTTTTTATTTGCTCTGAGTACATTTTAAGTAACCACATGTGGCTAATGGCTAAATGGCTGAAAGGTACAGATGTAGAATATTTCCATCCTTGCAGAAATAGATATTGCTGATGTTGACCCTTAAGATGAATAAAAAGTAACTTAACCATAAAATATAACCTTAGCAGAGGTAACTCATCTAATTTATAGCATGACAGAGAAAAATAAAATTGGGGATGGTTAAGCAGTTTCTACCCCTGTTCAGTGAACAAATACATTATGTCTTCATAAATAAATAAGTGAAATTTACTGTTTTTCCCTGGGTGTTGCCTGGATTGTAAAATGCTTTTCCCAGTCCTTACTTCAACCTTCTTCCTTGTAGGTTAGAGTTACTTGTTATTGGTAAATAGCCACGATGCAGGCTAAGGACCAGAAGAAACACAGAAAGAAAAACAGTGGGCCCAAAGCTGAAAAGAAAAAGAAGTGGCATCTGCGGGATCTCCAGCTAGGAGACCAAGAAGATGCCCGGAAGAGAAATCCCAAAGCTTTTGCGGTTCAGTCTACTGTGCAGATGGCTTGGTCCTTTCACTGGTATGTTTAGCTGCAGTCTGGTGGTTCTTCCACTGATTCTTTTTAAATAGGAGGAGCCTCTCACAGGTGACATTTTGATTCACGAGTCTAGTCCAGCTCCAAAGGACATAGAGATGCATGCTGTGTGGCTTTCATGAAAACGTGGGAAACCTTCCCCATAGAAGCTGCCTTGCCTCCGGTGTCTGCACACTGGTTGGTGTTTCTTGCTCAAGATAAAAGAATTCATAGAATTTATTTATTCCTAAGCTTTAAACTGTTTCTATGGTGATAAGTGTGCTTTTTCCCTCTGGATATGTTTTACATAGTTGTAACATAAAATACAAAAATTACAATATTTAATACTAACATAGCTTTATTTAGTGAGTCCTTGTGATATGCCTCACAGTGTACTTTTACATTTTTCAACTAAATGCTTCCAGCAACCTTACCATAATAGGAATCATTCTTGCCCTCATTTTATGGATAAGAAAACTGAGGTCAAGGAAACAAGTTACCTCCAATCATATAACCAGTAAGTAGGAGAGTCAAATTTACTCTACAGCTTCTGCTCTTGTCCATTATGATGCACTGCCTTGGTAGTTACCTTTTGTTTTTTTTAAAAAAACTATTAAAATCACTTATAAAAGTCAGATTTAAGGAGTGTTTAATTTTCAATTCTCTATACTATTGAAGTCATCTTGTTACAACTTATTGAACAGCAATTATTTAGATGGGGACCGGAAGTTATCAAGCTAATAATTGACAAGTAAATATATTTATATAATGTCTGTTGTACTCTCTAATTAATATATTGAAGTACTCTCTATAAGTATACTAAAAAATGTCTACTTATATGCTTGATACCTTTTATTTTATTTTGAAAGTAAGTTTACTTTTTTTTTTTTCCATGAATAGGATTCAGGCTTTGAAGACAAAGAAGCATCATATTCCAGTGGTTGATCGAACTCCACTAGAGCCCCCAGTAGTGGTGATGGTGATGGGGCCTCCAAAAGTTGGAAAGAGCACTTGGATACAGTGCCTCATCGCAAGTCCACCCAGCAGAAGTTGACCGAGATCTGAGGCCCTGTGACGGTCGTGTCAGGTAGGAGATGCTGCCACAGACAGTTGGCGTGGCTGTTGTCATCTGAGGGACATGCATGTATTTGTTGTTTTGTTGAGTGGAATATGTTAAATATTGTCATACCATGCTACCTCTCTTACGCTTTTACTAAATTGGGTATGGCTTCAAAAACGTGTAAGTTCCCAGAGATAAGGATGTGATAAATATCTTACCCTAACTGCCCTATGGCTTTGCCAAGTATGTTCCTTGGAACAGCCTAGCAGGCCTGGTCACTGTGAAGACATCATTTAACAGATAGCATGCACCTCCTATGTGCCACGCTTGCCCTGATGAAGCCACATTCTTGTGGAAGTGAGAGTTTTCTCTTTTTCCTATGAGAATTTACATTGGGAGATGGTGACCTTTCCAAGTTTGAGGGAAAATGAAACAAGCTTCCAGTGGTAGAATGGCAATGTACAATCTGAATCTCTTGTTATTGCAGTAATATAGTTGGATTGGGCTTTTCTTTATCTTTGGATAAAGATAATTCTAAAATTCTTTATCTATCTAAATCAGGCGTCTCCAAACTTTTTACACAGGGGGCCAGTTCACTGTCCCTCAGACCGTTGGAGGGCCGCCACATACTGTGCTCCTCTCACTGACCACCAGTGAAAGAGGTGCCCCTTCCTGAAGTGCGGCGGGGTGCCGGATAAATGGCCTCAGGGGACCGGATGTGGCCCTTGGGCCGTAGTTTGGGGACTCCTGATCTAAATAGATTGATAGTTCCTAACGTCTTGAGTAACAAGGCTGGTACTTTCTATTTTTCTTAACACTGTGAGTTAATGTGACCAATGCCTGAGGTTGGGTAACCAGGCCAGCGCCAGACTCTGATAGGACATTTTTCCTAATACGTTTTTCTGTTGCTTTCTATGGATCACTGGGTGTTAATATGGGTTCTGGAATTGCAATTTTAAAAACTGTTTTGTGAATGACTAGCAACATAGTTGCCAGAACATTTAATACATTTCTCTATTGCTTTTTATGGGTCACTGGATGTTAATGTGGGTTCTGGAACTGCAATTTTAAAAACTGTTTTGTGAATGACTAGCAAATAGTAATTTACTCTAATTTTCAAATATAATTTGCAAGTGAAATGTGTAGGACTCCAGTAAGGCACAATCACCGAGATCCTAACGATGATATGGAAGAGGCAGATAGTGACTTGAGCAAGTGCACTCATGTCTGCTCACACCAGTCACTTTTGAACTGCTCAATGGCAGGCAGGGGGAATGACCTCTGGTTGGCAGATGTCCACTCAGTATGACCCTGGATTAGACATATAGTTACCATCTGTCAGGCCATCCGTGTGTTGTTGGACTATTCCTTGGAGATACACTCATCAGTGACTATTAAAGTACCTGAGTCATTAGGTGCCTATAGATGATACCCATTGATATGAGCATTGTGTATAAGCTGCCTAGTTGTGCTGACACTGACTGAAGCTGTGAGGTTTCACAGTAACATGGCAGCCAATTATATATACTCAGATTTACCATTTGTCAAGAGGTATTCATTCACACTATCAATTAGGCAATTATCATTCTACACACAGGCAGGAATAAAGGAAATAAAAAACCACAGTGATGGCTCAAGAGACCAATGTACCTCCAGAAGAATCCAGTGGGTCCAGAAGGCCTTTGGATGACGGTCAGATGCTCCTTTGGGGCAGAGATCATAGCAGCAACCACCAGGTCTGGAGAAGTCCTTACAGTTCTCATGGACAAAGCTTCTGAAGACATCTTAGACAAGATCTTGTCTCTGCTGGTTTTATGATCCTCTGCAGATGGGTCCATTCTCTTGTTCTCAGCCACCTTTCACTTCCTATCAGTTCACTTCAGGTCTCTCATGATCTCAGGCAGCAATAATTGTTATCACCTCAACCCATTCATATGTGTTTATCTCTTTGGGGATGAGCGGACAACTTCCCTGTAGACTTAATTCTACTGGAGATGAGTGACTCCATTTTAAGATATGAGGATCACACATTATTACCACATATCATCAGGGCAGAGAACAGCTACCACCTGGGGCTGAAAGCAGATAACTCCATTTATTCTGGAAATATTCTGTCTTGATTATGGTGCCGGTTACTGTGAGGGACTTCCTTTTCTCCACCTGTTTTTTACAAAGTTTGAGTCTGGACTGCTAACATTCTACTGATTTCCAGGTGAAGGGACTGACTACACCATCCCTGCCTGTCAGAGCACTTGCCCCAGTACTTCCACTTTAAGAGTTTTCCACCTTATCCAGAACTACGGTCCATTAATCCCCCCATTTTCTCTCTCAGGAGAATGAACAACACATCTCACGTACATACCCGCACACCTCTTCCCCCAAATAACAAACACAAAAATCCAATCTGTCTCTTTCCACCTAAGCAATTTTAGACAGTCACTTTCTAATAATTGCCTTAAGCTCCCTGACTTGCTGCTCGTTCTTTCTCTGGCAAAATCTCATCCCTGGATGAGCCCCATTTTGTGTTGGCTCAGTGACACCACTCAGCTGAACCAGAAGAACATCAAAAAATGGTCGCAGGTGTCATCACAAATTCAAATTTCTTACACAACTAATTGGCCCTAAATTTTCCAAAAATCAATACGAGGTTTGTGTCTCCAACGACATCATTTTTTCTATGTTCTTCTAACTTTTTCGACCAATCTTTTCCATGTTCTTCCTTTATTCAACTTCTCTCTTCTGATATCTTGACAAGTCAGTTAAGGAGAGAAGATATCCCATTAGGTAGTAGCCGATCATCTTCCCATCACCTAAGAAAATAATATGCACAGAATGCATCACACCTACTCTAAATACATCACACCTACTCTAAAATTGACCACATAATTGGCAATAAATCACTCCTCAGCAAATGCAAAAGAACGGAAATCATAACAACAGTCTCTCAGACCATAGTGCAATCACGTTAGAACTCAGAATTCAGAAACTAACTCAGAACCGCACAGCCTCATGGAAACTGAACAACTTGCTCTTGAATGTTGACTGGATAAACAACAAAATGAAGGCAGAAATAAAGACGTTCTTCGAAACCAATTAGAATGAAGACACAACATACCAGAATCTCTGGGACACATTTAAAGCAGTCTCTAGAGGAAAATATATAGCAATAAGTGCCCACATGAGAAGAAAGGAGAGATCAAAAATTGACACACTATCATCAAAATTCAAACAGCTAGAGGAGCAAGATCAAAAAAACTCAAAACCTAGCAGAAGACAGGAAATAACTAAGATCAGAGCAGAACTGAAGGAGATAGAGACACAAAAAACTTTACAAAAAAATCAATAAATCCAGGAGCTGGTTTTTCAAAAAGATCAACAAAATAGACAGACCACTAGCCACATTAATAAAAAAGAAAAGAGAGAATAACTAAATTGATGCAATAAAAAATGATAAAGGGGAGATCACTGCAGATTCCACAGAAATTCAAACTATCATCAGAGATTATTATAAACAACTCTATGCACATAAACTAGTAAACCTGGAAGAAATGGATAAATTCCTGGACACTTGCCTCTTCCCAAGCCTAAACCAGGAAGAAGTCGAGACCCTGAATAGACCAATAACAAGATCTGAAGTTGAGGCAGCAATTAAGAGCCTACCACCCAAAAAAAGCCCAGGTCCAGATGGGTTCACAGCCGAATTCTACCAGACATACAAAGAGGAACTGGTACCATTCCTTCTAAAATTATTCCAAATCATCCAAAAAGAGGGAATCCTCCCCAAATCATTTTACGAGACTGACATCATCCTGATACCAAAACCTGGCAGAGACTCAACAAGTAAAGAAAACTTCAGGCCAATATCCATGATGAACATAGATGCAAAAATCTTGAATAAAATACTGGCAAGCTGATTGCAACAGCACATCAAAAAGCTTATCCACCATGATCAAGTAGGATTCATCCCAGGGATGCAAGGCTGGTTCAACATACGCAAGTCCATACACATAATTCACCACATAAACAGAACCAAAAAACAAAAACCACATGATTATCTCAATTGATGCAGAGAAGGCCTTTGACAAAATTCAACAGCCCTTTATGCTAAAAACCCTCAATAAACTAGGTATTGATGGAACATATCTCAAAATAATAAAAGCTATTTACGACAAACCAACAGCCAATATCATACTGAACGGGCAAAAACTGGAAGCATTCCCTTTGAAATCTGGCATCAGACAAGAATGCCCTCTCTCCCCACTCCTATTCAATATAGTACTGGAAGTTCTAGCCAGAGCAATCAGGCAAGAAAAAGAAATAAAGGGTATTCAAATAGGAAAGGAGGAAGTCAAATTGTCTCTCTTTGCAGATGACATGATTGTATATCTAGAAGACCCCATTGTCTCAGCCCAGAGTCTCCTAAAACTGATAAGCAGCTTTAGCAAAGTCTCAGGATACAAAATCAATGTGCAAAAATCACAAGCATTTCTATACACCAATAACAGACTTAAAGAGAGCCAAATCAAGAATGAACTGCCATTCACAATTGCTACAAAGAGAATAAAATACCTAGGAATACAGCTAACAAGGAACGTAGAGGACCTCTTCAAGGAGAATTACAAACCACTGCTCAACGAAATAAGAGAGGACACTAACGGAGAAACATTCCATGTTCATGGTTAGGAGGAATCAATATCGCGAAAATGGCCATATTGCTCAAAGTAATTTACAGATTCAACGCTATCCCCATCAAGCTACCAATGACCTTCTTCACAGAACTGGGAAAAAACACCTTAAACTTCATATGGAACCAACAGAGACCTCGCATAGCCAAGTCATTTCTAAGCAAAAAGAACAAAGTGGGAGGCATCACACTACCGGACTTCAAACTATACTACAAGGCTACAGTAATCAAAACAGCATGGTACTGATACCAAAACAGAGATATAGACCAATGGAACAGAACAGAGGCCTCGGAGGCAACACAACATATCTACAACCATCTGATCTTTGACAAACCTGACACTAACAAGCAATGGGGAAAGGATTCCCTGTTTAATAAATGGTGTTGGGAAAACTGGCTAACCATGTGCAGAAAGCAGAAACTGGGCCCCTTCCTGACACCTTACTCTAAAATTAACTCCAAATGGATTAAAGGCTTAAACATAAGACCTAACACCATAAAAACCCTAGAAGAAAATCTAGGCAAAACCATTCAGGACATAGGCGTAGGCAAGGACTTCATGACCAAAACACCAAAAGCATTGGCAACAAAAGCCAATAGACAAATGGGACCTAATCAAACTCCACAGCTTCTGCACAGCAAAAGAAACAGTCATTAAAGTGAATCAGCAACCAACAGAATGGGAAAAAATTTTTGCAGTCTACCCATCTGACAGGGGGCTGATATCCAGAATTTACAAAGAACTGAAACAGATCTACAAGAAAAAACGAACAAGCCCATTCAAAAGTGGGCGAAGGATATGAACAGACACTTTACAAAAGAAGACACACAGGAGGCCAACAAACGTATGAAAAAATGCTCATCATCACTGGTCATCAGAGAAATGCAAATCAAAACTACATTGAGATACTGTCTCACACCAGTTAGAATGGCGATCATTAAAAAATCCAGAGACAACAGATGCTGGGGAGGATGTGGAGAAATAGGAACACTTTTACACTGTTGGTGGGAGTGTAAATTAGTTCAACCGTTGTGGAAGACAGTGTGGTGATTCCTCAATGACCTAGAAATAGAAATTCCATTTGACCCAGCAATCTCATTACTGGGTATATATCCAAAGGATTATAAATCATTCTACTATAAGGACACATGCACAGGGATGTTCATTGCAGCACTGTTTACAATAGCAAAGACCTGGAACCAACACAAATGCCCATCGATGATAGACAGGGAAAATGTGGCACATATACACTATGGAATACTATGCAGCCATCAAATGTGGCACATATACACCATGGAATACTATACAGCCATCAAAAACGATTAGTTAGTGTCCTTTGTAGGGGCATGGGTGAACCTGGAAACCATCATTCTCAGCAAACTGACACAAGAGCAGAAAATCAAACACCGCATTTTCTCACTCATAGACGGGTGTTGAACAATGAGAACACATGGACACAGGGAGGGGAGCACTACACACTGGGGTCTGTTGGGGGGAAATAGGGGAAGGACAGCAGCGGGTGGGGAGTTGGGGAGAGATGGCATGGGGAGAAATGCCAGATATGGGTGATGCGGAGGAAGGCAGCAATCACACTGCCACGAGTGTAATCTATGCAACAATCTTGCATGTTCTTCACATGTACCCCAAAACCTAAAATGCAATTTTTAAAAAAAAGAAAAGAAAAAAAATGACTCAAATTTTCAGAATAAAATTAAAACTACCCCAGCGTCAAATTTGGGGCCCAATAGAGGTGGGTTTGTATCTCAGGTTCATACACTGTTCAGTAATGTGGTCTCACAAAACTGAACTTTTTAAGCCTTTGTGTATCTGCCTACTCTCATTGAGATTGGGGCTGTTTCACACATACGGTGTCTGGCATGTAGAAGGGACTTCATCAATGTTGAATGAACAGGAGACATTTTAAAATTCACATCAAAAAATATATTAAAAAAAATGCCACTC